TTATACAGAATTTCTCAAAGCAAAATTACTTTTTTCTGTATGTTGGTAGTGGGGCTCCAACTCAGGAACTGGGTACTGTTCCTTAGTTTTCTATTCAAGGCTAGTGCTCTACCACTTAAAACCACAGCTCTACTTCTGGATTTTTGGTGATTTATTGAAGGCTGACTTCCTGTCCAGGTTGGCTTTGAATGACAATTCTCAGATCTTAGCCTCCTGAGTAATTAGGATTACAGATATGAGGCACTGATGATGGGCCAAACCAAAGTAAACTTCAAATGCAAATTGGTGGTATTTACAAGTTTTCATCACACTTCTGGATCAGAGAAACATAACCTAATAGTCACTGGCACTGAGCCAAAACCATTTTTTAAAATAGTTACTTTAGTAGTTAGTTTAGTAAAGATAAAGACCACACAGGAAGAGTGAGCAGTAGAACCTGGAAACCAGTTGTCCCAAAGTAATATTTAAATGAAAATTGGTGATAGTACACTTAACAATGTATCACCATACTTATGGAACCTAGAAACATAACCTAACAGGGAACCAAAAATCCTGAGACACAAAAAGATGAAATCGGGGCTGGGAAGGTGGCACAGTGGTAGAGCGCTTGCTTTGCATGCATGAGGCCCTGGGTTCGATTCCTCAGCACCACATAAGCAAAAAGAAAAAAGCCGGAAGTGGCGCTGTGGTTCAAGTGGTAGCACGCTAGCCTTGAGCTGAAGAGCTGAGGGACAGTGCCCCGGCCCAGAGTTCAGGCCCCATGACTGGACCCCCACCCACTCCCCCCCAAAAAAAAAACAACAACAAAAAGATGAAATCTTAGCCGGGCGCCGGTGGCTCACACCTGTAATCCTAGCTACTCAGGAGGCTGATATCTGAGGATCAAGGTTCAAAGCCCAGGCAGGAAAGCCCATGAGATATTTTTTTTTTTGGTCAGTCATGTGCCTGAACTCTGAGCCTGGGCGCTGTCCCTTACCTCTTCAGCTCAAGGCTAGCACTCTACCACTTAAGCCACAGTGCCACTTCCGGCTTTTTCTGCTCATGTGGTGTTAGGAATTGAACCCAGGGCCTCATGCATGCAAGGCAAACACTCTACCACTGAGCCACCTTCCCAGCCCCCCCATGAGACTCTTATCTCCAAGAAACCACTAGGAAACTGGAAGTGGTGCTGTGGCTCAAGTGGTACAGTGCTGGCCTTGAGCTGAAGAGCGCAGGACAGAGCCCAAGCCCAGAGTTCAAGCCCCACGACCTACCAAACAAAAAACAAACAAATCCCAAACAAACAAATACCTGCTTCCTAAACCTACCTAGCTTTTTGGAACTTAAATATTTAAGCTATCAATTGTATCTTTTGAAAAAGGAATTAAAAATGCCCAAATCAAAATGGGTGAGATGGTCATAATTACCTAAGTCAAAGCCTTCCCCAAACCACTGAATACTTACTATAAAATGACCTTCCCTAAAACTTGTGCAACACTGAACCATTATCTTACCTCTTTATGATCCTCAACCACACTAAGAAGTGTGTCAATTGTATTCAGAATTCCCATAGCAGTAACTGCTTTGTCATCACTTCCTTCTTCATCTGGCCCAGTCTGGATTACCTGGTTAAATGTCATTGCCTAGAGTGGAGAAAATGCAACTCAAATCCACCACTGAAGCAATATTAACAGTTTCGCCCAAGATTTATTTTGTCTGAGATAGAGTCTCACTATGTAGCCCTGGCTGGCCTCAAAATGCATAATCCTAATTCAACCTTCTGTGTACTCAGAATTCAGACATACATGCTACAGGCTGGCTTGGACTTTGCTACCACTTGGATAACACCTTCACAGCCTGGCTTTTTGGTGGTTATTCTGGAGATTTGAGCTTCTCATACTTTTCTGCCTCGGCTGGCTTTAAACCATGATCCTTTAGATCTCAGCATCCTGAATAATAAATATTATAGGCAAGAGTCCATGTTTTCCCTGGGACAGCACAACAAATGAATGGCTTCCAGGTGATTAATAAATTTATAAGCTTAGGCTCAATAATCAAAGGATCCTATTCTGCCACTATATAGGAAAATAAACTCTTGGCTTTTCTTGACATATCATTTAGGGGTTTTCAGAGATAATGTTGAGTTAAATAACGCAAATAAGTAATGACCGTAATATATAAACATTTTTATTAATAGTACAGGCTAAAGATGAGCAGAGCAAAGTGCCTGTAATCCTAGATAGTCATGGTGCTGAGGCAAGATGATAGCCTAAAAGTTCAGGGAGCTCAAACAATAGAAAAAATTTTTGGCAGGAAGTAGAACACTAGCCTAGCAAGCAAGAAGCTGAGTCCAAAACTCCAGTAATGTCTGGCCACCAGTGGCTTATGCCTGTAATCCTAGCTACTCAGGAGGTTGAGATCTGAGGATTGCCCAGGCAGGAAAGACCTTGAGATTTTTACCTCCAATAAACCACCAGAAAACAGAAAGTGGCGCTGTGGCTCAAAGTGGTACAGTGCTAGCTTTGAGCTAAAGAGCTCAGGGACAGCACCCAGGCCTAGAGTTCAAGTCCCACAACTGACAAAAAAACAAAACAAAAAAACAAACAACAACCTCCAGTAATGAAAAATAAAAAAGACTGGTAACATATTACATACAGTATTCTAATATAATCCTTCCAATCACATTTGTTCATTTTTTCTGTTTAAAACCAAACTCATTGTTTTGAGTACTCCAAAACAACAGAGATGCAGCCTAAATAATTAAGACTATAAACTCTAGTTTCTACCATACACAAGTTATTTAACCTTTAAATACTTCACATTTTCTTTCTTTTTTTTTTTTTTTTGTCAGTTGTGGGGTTTGATCTTTGGACCTGGGCACTGCCCCTCAGCTCTTCAGCTTAAGGCAAGAACTCAACCACTAGGATGACAGTTCCACTTCCAGTTTTCTGGTGGTTTATTGGAGATAAGAGTCTCATGAGCTTTCCTGACGGGACTGACTTTGAACCATGATCCTCAGATCTCAGCCTCCTAAGTAGCTAGGATTGAAGGTGTGAGACTACTGGGCCTGGCATACTCACATTTTCTATCTGTAAAGTAAGAACAAGGCTGGCAGAATGGTTTAAGTGATAAAGTGTTTGTCTAGTATGCTTAAGGCATACAAGCTCAAGACAAGACAATTCTCCAAAAGAACAAAGTGAGAAATAAATTACTTAAGAATCTACCAGCTGGGGGGCTGAGAAGGTGGCTCAGTGGTAGAGGGCTTGCCTTGCATGCATGAGGCCCTGGGTTTGATTCCCCAGCACCACATATGCCAAAAGAAAAAAAAAAAAGCCCGAAGTGGCGCTGTGGCTCAAGTGGTAGAGCACTAGCCTTAAGCTGAAGAGCTGAGGGACAGCGCCCAGGCCCAGAGTTCAGGCCCCACGACCAGACCCAAAAAAAAAAGAATCTACCAGCTGGGCACCGGTGGCTCATGCCTGTAATCCTAGCCACTGAGGAGGCTGAGATCTGAGGATCACAGTTCAAAGCCAGCCCGGGCAAGGAAAGACCAGACTATGAGACTCTTATTTCCAATAAACCACTAGAAAACTGGAAGTGACACTGTGGCTCAAGCAGTAGAGCACTCACCTTGAGCTGACGAGCACAGGGACAGCACCCAAGCCCAGAGTTCAAGCCCCACGAGCAACAAATAAATAAATAAAAGTAAAAAATAAAATAAAAAAAAGAATCTACCAAACCAATGGGGCTGGGAAGGTAGCTAAGTGGTAGAGTGCTTGCCTCGCATGCATGAGGCCCTGGATTCGATTCCTCAGCACCACATAAGCAGAAAAAGCTGAAAGTAGTGCTGTGGCTCGAGTGGTAGAGTGCAGCCTTGAACTGAAGAGCTGAGGAACAGTGCCCAGGCCCAGAGTTCAGGCCCAAAGACAGATTAAAAAAAAAAAACAAACATACCAAACTGAGTACTATTGGCTCATGCGTGTAAGACTAGCTATGCAGGAGGCTGAGATTTGAGGACTGAGCTTTGAAATCACACCGCCAGTCAAATCAGATACTAACCTCAAATTAACCAGCAAAAAGCTGGAAGTGGAGGTGTGGCTCAAATGGTTAAACAATGGTATTAAGTAAAAGTGTGAGGCCCCAGTACTGCCACAAAACAAAGAATCTGTCAAGAGGATTACATACCAAATGTTGTGTCATTTCTACTGCAATAGGAGTAACTTCTTCACTATATTCACAAATCATCTTCTGAATGACATTGGTAAGATCATCATTTTCTGTTTCTCTTATAATATGAAGAAGAGCCTGCATTACAGGTCTGATAAATGGTGTGATATATTCTTTAGCTGTAAGAGAAAAAGAAAAATATTTTTGTGTGCCGGTCCTGGAGCCTGAACTCAGGGCCTGGGCACTGTCCCTGAGCTTCTTTTGTTCAAGGCTAGTGCTCTACTACTTGAGTCACAGCACCACTAGGTGGTACTGAGAATGGAACCCAGGGTTTCTCATGCATGCTAGGCAAGCACTCTACCACTGAGCCACCTTCCCAGCTCAGAACTTTTAAACTAACAAGTATGGAAGTGGCGCTGTGGCTCAAGCGGTAGAGCGCTCGCCTTGAGCTGAAGAGCGCAGGGACAGTGCCCAAGCCCAGAGTTGAAGCCTCACAACTGACCAAAAACAAAACAAAACTCATAAGTATTTTACATAATAAATACGCTAACTCTACTGGTAAAAATCATATGTAAAGACATTCATTGTTTTTGATACACAAATCTTTACCTTTTTCTTGATTGCTAATCAATACTTGAAGTGCAATCGCAGCTTCTACTTTTACAGGCATTTCTCTATCATCAATCAGACATCTTCGTGTCAGCTCTAAGGCCGTTTGGAGGTTCTGATCACTTTTAAACTTCACTTCACAAAAATAGTGAAGAACCCAGCAAGCCTTTAAAAAAAAAAAACAAAACACTGATAGGCTATAATTATCTTTCATTAATTACTTCCCAACCCAAGCTCTTTCCAGAATTCTGTGTGCGGGAATTTGGAGGCTGGCCAGTGGTAGGTGTGTCCAAACAGACAACACTAGACCAGTACTATGATCCCAAGTTGGTTTTTGGCTACATGATTTTGTGTGAATAGCAAGTCTGAATGCAAAACACAGACAGACTATGCTACCAGACACAGATGGAAACTATGCACACACTGTAGTAGCCATTTAAAGATTTATTTTAAACTTAAGTTGTAAGTGAAATAACTTTTAAAGTGAATATATAACAAGTTTCAATACAAAAACATTTTGAGATACAAATATATTAAAAATGTAGCTTCAAAACTTACCCTTGCTCTCATGTAGCCTAGTTCACTGCTGAATAGAGGGAACACATGATTTTGCAACATATATTCCATTTGATCTTTGTAGATCTTTTTCTGTAAGTACAAACACTTATTTTATTATAGTTCAACTATCATTATCTCAATTTTCAAGCTGATACACAAGGGTTAAAAACAACATCTAGAAAGCTGAGCACCTGAAATCTTAGCTACTCTGGAGGCTGAAATCTGAGAATCATTGTTGAAAGCCAGCCCAGGCAAGAAAGTCTGGGAGACTATTGCCAATTAACTTCCAGAAAACTGGAAGTGGCTCTGAGGCTTCAAGTGGTAGAGCACTAGCCTTGAGCAAAAGAGAGCCCAGGGACAGTGCCCAGGCCCTGAGTTCAGGCCTACAGCCAACAACAAGAGTACTAGACTAGAGCCCAACATCAGTGGCTCATGCCTATAATCTTAGCTGCTTAGGAGACTGAGATCTGAGAATCATGATTTGAAGCAAGTCCAGGAAGGAAAAGTCTGTGAGACTCTTATCTCCAATTAACTACCAGAAAGCTGAAGTAGAGCTATGGCTCACGTGGCAGAACGCTAGCTTTGAGCAAAAGCAGCTTGGGGACAGCACCTAGGCCCTGAGTTCAAGCCCAAGCACCTCTCTCCCCCAAAATACTAACCAAGTTCTGGGACACTTACTGGTGGCTAGTGCCTATAATCCTAGCTACAAAGGTAGGCTGATATTTGAGGACTGTTTCAAGGCCAGCCTGAGAAGGGAAGTTGATAAGACTATTATATCCATTTAAGCATCAAAAAGGTGGAAGTGGAGGTTATAGATCAAGAGGTAGAGCAAGCACTAGCCTTTAGCAGATAAAGCTAGGGGCAGTGCTCAAGCCCAGAGTTCAAGCCCTAAATTCAGCACCAAACAACAACAACAAAAATGGTTGAAGGCATGGCTCAAGCAAAAAGTGACTATTGATGTCAAATACACACTTATATTGATACCTTTTTAGGACCTATAACCAAAAAAATCTATTTGTTTTTACAGTTGTGGTTCTTGAACTCAGGGCCTGGGCACTGTCCCTGAACATCTCTGTGCTCAAGGTTAGGGGCCTACCACTTGAGCCACAGTGCCACTTCCAGTTTTTGAGTAGTTAATTGGGAGGCAAGAAGAGTCTCATGGGGACTTTTCTGCCAGGGCAGGCTTCAAACGGTGATCCTCAGGTCTCAGCTTCGTTGAATAGCTAGGATTACAGGTGTGAGACACCAGTGCCCAGAGTATTATTATATTAGGGAGGGGATGAAGACAGAGTATCACTAAATAGTATAGGATGGCTTTGATGTCAAAATGCTCTGGCCTCAGGCAGGCACACTAAGCACATTTTTATGTTAAAAATTTTTGTTTGAATTAGAAAGCAATTACAAAATCTAGTGTTAATAAAACATATGTAATCCCAACACTCAAAAAGTGGCTTTAAAGTCTGAGAACAGCCAGGGCCACACAACAAGTTCAGGTCTGCTCGGAGCTATGCAATGAGATACATTCTAAAAGATAGCTGGGCACCTGGTTAATGCCTAGCTACTCAGGAGGCTGAGTTCTGAGGATCCCAGTTCAAACCCAGCCCAGGCAAGGAAAGTCCAGGAGACTCTAATATCCAATTAACCACCAGAAAACTGGAAGTGGCACTATGGTTCAAGTGGGAGGGGCTCTTGCCTTAGGCTGAAGAGGTCAGGGGCAGCACCCAGGCCCCAAGTTCAAGCCCTTCAAACAACAAAACAAAAAAACACTAAGGACTAGAATTATAGATCAGTACAGTACTCACTTAACATACACAAGACTTTGGTTTAATCTTCATTATAGCAAAACAAACAAAAATACAGACAATATTTGAACTGCACATTAATAAACATTAAAAACTGACTAGCACTTGCAAAATTGGAGAAGACCTAACCTAAGACATGAAAATTAAATGCCATGTAGGATCCTGGAGGGATCACAGACCCAAAAAAAATAAATAAACAAAATATATAGTTATATAATATATAAAAAATATATACTCAGGCAGCAGCAAAATAAGACTACATCTCAAAAACAAAATTATGTGGGTATCTGAGGTGTGTGTGTGTAGCTACGTCTTAACACACATATATAAAACACATATATATTATATATAATATGTTCATTTTCAGTGACATTTTGATTTAGTGTAATGTTCGTAAGATTTGTTGTGAAGCATGTAACAGTATATTACATAATATATATAAAATATATATATTACTACCTGATTTAGAGACAAAATTTGGAATAGGAGTAGGTTGGGCTTAGAGACTTGGTATAAAACAGAGTAACTGCTAATGTATACAATTTTCAACTCAAGGTAATGAAAATGTCTAGGAATTAGATAGGGAAAGTGGTAACAACTGTAACTACTGTTTCCAGGAAAACTGGTAATTTAAATACTTATACACACAGATGTAAAGAAGAAATACCTTCAGAAGTATTTCAGCTAAAGAGCCAATCATATGTAAAGCTCCATCTTTTTTCCGAGGATCAGCATTTGGTTCTGTAAGAATCTGGTAACAAAAGCCCATAGTCTTCTGTAGTACCTAAATTAAGAGATAAAATTAAGAGATAATGTTTGATTGAATAAACCAACAGCTCTTTTTTTTTTGGGGGGGGGGGGGGGGTGTCCTGTTGTGGGGCCTGAACTCTGGGCGTGGGTGCTATCCCTCAGCTCTTCAGCTCAAGGCTAGCGCTCTACCACTTGAACCACAGTGCCACTTCCAGCTTTTTTTTCCTTTTTGCTTATGTGGTGCTGAGGAATTGAACCCATGGCCTCATGCATGCAAGGCAAGTGCTCTACCACTGAGCCACCTTTCCAGCCCAAACCTACAGCTCTTTAAAAATAAATTAGCCAAAAAAAAAAAATAAACTAGCAAACAACTCACATAGCTAACATTTAAAACAGAGAGTATATTTGAGTAACTTTTTAGTGATGTAGTAAAACTATTCTGCACATCAAATAACTTACCTCTTTCCTCTTACTACAGGCTGTAAACAAAAGTGTCTGGGCAGCAGTGGTAGGAGAAATGAAATCTTCAAATACATCTAGAAAAGAAATATAAAAATAGAATAGCAAACAGTAATTTAACACCTTTGCAAAATATTTTCATATTATTGAATTTATAAGTTATGCTTTATAAAAAACAAGGCACTTACATGGGTATAATAGTACATACCTATAAATTGTTATACTAAGGAGCCTGAGACTCAACGAGCCAGGCATAGTCCCTAAGTGAGCTTTTTTGCTCATAGCTAGTGTTCTACCACTTGAACCACAGTACTTTCAAGCCTGGGTTTGCGTCGAATCATTTTCCTCAGATCTTAGCCTCCTAGTAGCTAGGAGTACAGGCATGAGCCACTGGCAAAATCTCAGATTTGAGGCTACTTTGAGCCATGTATCAACACCCCATTTCAACTACAGGAAAAAGTGGGAAGATGAAGGAAGCAACAGAGAGAGACCTAGATACACACACATATATACCTCAGATACCCACATAATTTTGTTTTTGACATGAAGTCTCACTTTGCTGCTGCCTCACTATAATACATTAGCAACATGAAGTGATCCATCTACTTCAGTCTCTTGCAATGTGTTACCACACATGAATTCTATGTGTTTTCATACAAATTAAGTGTTAATCCACTTTTTTTTGGTGAAAATACTGTACAGAGGGGTTACAATTACATGGGCAAGATAATGAGTACATTTCTTACCAAGCATTGTAGACTCTTCCTTTGTTTCCCCTTCCGATCCCTTACCATTTTCCCCCTGACCTCCCACCCAATCCACTGACTTTTAACACTAACATTCTTCCATACAAGAGACTGAAATAACATTTCTTTACAATAGTGTTGCAAAATTATAATCTACAAAAACATCTGGCAGGAAATACCAACACTCAATATTTGCCAAATTATAATTCTTTGCTTCCATGCAGGGAATACATGCATTTTTTTTCAACTCTCATTATGTATTTGAAAAGCAGTTTTAGATACTTACCTAAGGTATCAGCTTAACTAGTTCACTTTGAGCACATGCTAAGAATATATCCTAGTACAGTAACACTATTGTATTTGTGTCTGCTAAAACTAAATACCATTAAAAATGAGTAGCGCCAAAACAATCTAAACAAGAAATTATACCAAGCTGGGCGCTGGTGGCTCATCCTGTAATCCTAGCTAATCAGAGGTTGGGATCACGGTTCAAAGTGGAAGTGGTGCTGTGGCTCAAGTGGGAAAGCACAGACTTCAAGCCCCACGACCAGCAAAAAATACACACACACACACACACACACACACACACACACACACACACACACACACACACACACACACACACACACACACACACACACACACACACACACACACACACACACACACACACACACACACACACGGGCCAGGCACACCGGTATTCTTAGCTATTCACAAAGGTAAGATCTGAGAATCATGGTTCAAAAATCAGACCAAACAGAAAGTCCATGAGACTCATCTCCAATTAATAAGAAAAACCCAGAAGTAAAGCTGTGGCTCAAGAGATAGATCACCACCCTTTAGTGGAAAAAGCCCAGTTAAGAGAATGAAGCCCTGAGTTCAAGTTCCATTAGAATGAATAACATTATATCACTGCAGGGATCTGAATGTACCTAAACAAATCATGTTAAGTGAAGTAAGCCAAGCTCAAAAAGACAAATGGCATATATATGGAAGCTAGTTTACAACTGGATATGATAACTTAAAACAGTGCTTTATATACTTACACACAAACAAGGAAGGAACTCTTAGGGAAGGAGCGCAAAAGTCCAACACCTCTGAATATCTCAAAT